TTGTATATTTTATTCTTTTGATTTTTTTTAAGTCCTAAATGTGCAAAGAAGAAGCCTGACAACACAAAATGTCAAGAGGAAAAAAACACCATATTTCTTTTTACCTTCTGCAGTTTCTAAAATAAGTGAGTCTTATGTGATGTCACATGCAAGTTAATATTTATTAGCAACTTCTAATTCCAAACACATTTGAAGTTTTAAAAGAGGTGTTACTAAATGTGCTCTCAGCGTAAGGAGGTGGGTGAAGAACCCAGATGAGACAGACACTGGATGTCAAGCTTGAACAAATTCTGCTGTTCACAGAAAACATTATGATTCCTAAGGATTCTAATTACAACATTTAGTCAGCATCTTTGTCCCACTGTCACAGAACTAAAAACAGTGCTACACTCCCTTTACACAAAATCTCTCAATACTGTCTTCAGATCAGTAATGTAGCTCGGTACTCAGTCACAACTGATATTTTACATACCATGTTAGTATTAAACTAAAGCATTTGAGAATCATTAAACATGCCAAAAAGAGTCAAATCAAACATCTGTCTTCCTCAGTACTTTGTCACCTTTCACTATATAGAAAGATTGCCAAGAAACCATTAACATGCCCTCTGACATGAGGAAGACACACTCATCCCGTGTTTGTGATTCCCGTGTTTGGTCTTTCTTGTGGGAAACTGCTTTCACTGTTGGCATGGAAGGGACATGAGGGCCCCCATAACCTGAGGAACCTGTACCCAACTATTATTCATTGGCACACAGCTGGTTCAGGACCTCTTCACACAAGCTCACTTGGGGGAGTTATTCACTCCTTACCAGGGGAAGAGGGTAAATCTTGGTGTCACCCAGTTTTGGCTTCTGCCTCATGGGGTCCTCCCTCTGGCTGCTGCAGGCTGCAGAGATCACTGTCATTCTCAGACTGGCTTTGAAAGCGCCGTTACACACTCCTTCCATCCCTTCCACTGTCAGAGGGAGGAGAGACCTGATAATCACATGGTGACAAACTGTTGTCACCTAGGGCATGGAAGGCTCAGGGTGTGAGTAGGACCAATTATTCTCTAGAAGAGCCTCCTCCACCAAGGTCAACTCAGGCAAGGCCACTCAACAACAGCAGCTCCCTTCTTACTTTCCATGGGGACCGTGCCTGCTGCTGTGCCTCTGTCTCTACCTCTGCCACCCTCCACCAGCCCTCATGAAAGCCATGGGGACAGTGCAGACACAGAGATGAGCAGGCCTGCTGCAGGGGCTCACCCTTTCACAGGAGCTCTGCTTAGTAACAGCACATCCAAAGGATGGTTCAACTCTGTTTGCTCACTCCACAAAACTAACAAAACTGATCTTTTGCCCTTTGCCGAAGATGAATGTCCTACAGTCACACTATCACTAGATCCAACACAGAGGACATCATCTTTTGTGATAACGGCCTGCACTTATTATAAGACGAAACAAAATCCTAGGAATGCCTCCAAGGCAGACCTAAAGAGTGAAAACAACCAGAGAAGCCAGCTGCTTATTGTTCTGTAGTTTTCTGTTCCATCCCTGGCAGCCCTAAGGCTGTTTTAACTCACACAAGCTGGATATGGCCTTTAAAGGACACAACACAGACAGGAGACAGCCAGAGCACAGCACTGTCCATCCCAGATCTGCATTGTTACATTCACCATTTCCATCACTGAAAGCATCTGCTACGACATCCAGCACTTCCTCTTCAAAGTCAAGACAAAAATTAATGCTATTGAATATTTCTGTTGACCTAACCAGGCACCAATAAACACATTACACTGAAAACTGGCAAAAAGAAAAAATGAAAATAACCCTGAAACCCTCATAGCTCCCTCAATTAAACAAAACACAAAAATCCCAAACAAAACCTAAGCAACTCCTCACTAGCCAAAGGAAGCATATGCAAGCAAAATACTTGCAAACCTGCTAAAACTGAATGAAAAATGCTAATCAGCACAAAACATGTCAGCAAGTCACCTGGTTGCTTCAAAACCTAGGACTTCTGTACAGGAAACTGTCTGAGCCAAAATCCTGAAGCTCTATTTAAAGCCTGGTTAACTACTTCAGTTTTCTATGGCCTTGAAGAGTTCTCCTGCTTTGCGAACTGTGAAATAGCGTTTGCTCCACTACTCCAGGTGGATAGACTTTAATGACTTTCTTCCACGTGATTAAATCAGAAGATGAGGAATCAATCACTTGGGCTTGTACATTCTGCATATTTTTATACAAATCTTCTCACCATTCTATCTCTCTGCTCTCCCATCTACCACAAATTCAACTCTTGGCATGCTGAACATGCAGTTTTTAGTGCCTGCTTAAATCCACAGAAGTGAAATTGCAGATCACAAAACAGATACCCTGCATAGCAGGCAGTGCACAAGATCTGCAGAGAACAAGATATGAGCAGCCAAACATTCATTAAAGGTTCTGAAAGTGGCAGGATTCACAAAGGTTTACCATGGTGGATGAATGGGGCAAAGATACAGAAAAACAGAACTCTTCAACTAGCTTGATATGAAACATATTGATTCAATTAGCACAGTAACTGTTAACTCCACCAAGTAAACAAATGGTTGAAGAAAATCCAAGTTCAAATGATTGAAGAAAAAAACAAATCACTTCTTTAAACTAATCCCATAACTGATCCAGAGGTCTGAAATCAGGTCTCTAACTTAGCTCAAACCCTCCCTTGTAACATGAATTTCAATAGTTACTTTATTTTTCTTATACTGCTCTCCAAATCAGGTGCCTGCATCAAACAGATGTCTTAAAAGAGTAAGTTATGGGCATTTTTAAAGATAAAAGTTACTCAATACTCCAAAACTGAAGTTAGTCATCATAAGACAAAAGCCATGGCAGAGCTGTATAAACAGTTTCACTGGGATTTATATCAAACTACATTCTTCCCAGATCATTACAGAGTAGAATATATACAGCTCATATGCAAACCAAATCAACCTAGTTCCTTTTAACACCTCTGTGCTCTTCAAATGCATTCATTTGGGTAGTCCAGAACACTGTAACAAAGTCTGGCAGCCTTGACTTTTTAAGTACAACAACGTATGATTTTATTAGTTGTATGTACAGATAACAGTAAAATACTGCTGGTTAACTCAGTAGCATTTTCACATATATTACATATACTCATATCATCAATATAAACAGTATGATTATTATCATCAATTTGATTTATTTCCATAGGAGGTTCATTTTGCTCTTTTTACAATATTAATTGATAGAAGTGTGGGAAAAAAAATCAACTTAAATCCATTTAGAATTAAAATAACCAACACCATTCCAGGGGAAAAAAATTCTCCTGTTGACTTCAAATAGCAACATCAAAAGAATGGCAAGAAACAAATTCAAACCCAGATGTCCATGGTGAATTATTAATTCAACTGCAAGAAAATTCAACCACACTATTAGAAGTCACAAGCCTGGAAGCAGAAGCAAAGTCAACTACAGCTGAAGAAACACTGCTTCTTTCTCTTTGGTTTCTCTTTTTATCCCTATGTCTGCTTTTGGGCTCTACACCCCTCTTCACCCTGAATACCTGCCTCCTTGGCATCTTTGGTATTTGCACTGTGTTCCCTCCTTCCCTCACCAACCCTGTCTCACATGGGCCCTGAGCTGTACAGCTGTTCTTTTCCAAAGGCACTCGCTGCAGCAGCTCAGAGCATGGAGAAAGCACTCCTGCTGCTCGTTCCTTTTCCATTAATACTGGGGACCTTGCTGCCCAAGAGGAATGAGGCCAAATCTTTCCTGCCTGTCAGCCAAATTAATGATACTCATAATGCAAAGAAATTGAGTTAGGGTCATACAGAGAGCAGAGAAACCTCCCTAACACCAGCCAAGGTTCTCCTGCCAAGTTTTTTCAAATCTTTTTAAGTAAATCACTGCAGAAAGACAACAACTTATCCCAAATCCCTCTGAAATGGTAGTGAACATTTCCTAAAAGCATTCAGCATAAGTTACAGTAATTGTGCCCAATTGTGCCAACCTGTGCCCAAGTCATTGAAAGTAACAAATTTTAAGACCGGTTTTCTGTTCCTTTAGTTCAGAGTGGATGTCTACAATAGCAGTAGGCTCAGCTTCCACCATTGGTCAAAAGGATCATCTCCTAAAGAATATACTTTGTGCTTCTTTTTCACCTCAGTTCAAGGACTAATGTTTTTGATATCACTGAGTCAACTGGAACTTGACTAAGTGGAAAAGTCTAGTATTCATTTCAGTCAATGAAAATGAAATTTAGGGTGAAGTTTTACACTCTTGAGGAATATGGACTGAAAATAAACTATTCCCTTCCCACACACACCCTTAAGTTATGTGCATTTCCTTTTAGTAAGCAATTTCATTTGAAACATTTAAATAATAACAAACCCAAGCACCAATAAAACATAAGCACATGTAACAGGTAAGCTTCATAATACCAGTTTTTCCACTGTTTCTTCACAAGCTTTTCACAAACTCTAACTAGACTGCATTATTCACCAGTTCCTAACAACATGAAATATACAAATATAAACCTGAAAAACTAAAGAAAATATTTGAATAGCATTCATGGCGGTATTACAGCCTCCAAGCAACAACAGTTAAAGAGTCTCAGTTTAGTCTGAAATCTTCACTCAAATAGAAGTTAAAATGCTTTAATCATTGTAAGCCAATAAGAACTAATTTCTTTAGGAAAAGAACTGAAGTACAATACTAAAAGACCAAATATGTAATTTAGGTCACTAACACCAATCATGTTTTTAAACTGCTGCATTTAAATATAATCTGCCCTGAGGCAGGCAGTAAATTGTAACTTAAAAACACTGTCAATTTTAGACAGCAGACATAACAGGTACATAAAATCTTCCATGACACTGTACTTCCCTTATACCCCTATGATAAAAATATAGCACTCATAGCAGAAAAACACGATTGAGCAAACAAAACCCAGCATGTATACAAATTAATACTTAAATTAAGTTTGTTTGCAAGTAAAAAACTGTTACTTACTGCTATTTCTCTGCATGCAGACATGGAAATTCCAGTACCTTCTATCTGTTTTAAAGCGTAATCTTTATCATCTTTCCTGTAAAGAGAAAAAGAAGTTTGGTTTGTTGTTGGTTTTTTTTTTTAACTGCACTGTGAATTCAAAGTGAGCACTTCAGTACCATTCAGAGATCAGTTTCTAATTAATACAAATTATGCATCTTATTTTCTTTTCATTCTTTACTAGTTAAATGTCTGGATATCCAGCTAAACTGTAAGCTAACCAAAACTCCTTGATAAAGTTAAAATATAAGTCTGCTCTCATTAGATTGAGATGATTTAAAAACTTACTTTTCTAAATGCAATTAACACTTCTCCCATTTCTTACTTATTAAAAATAAAACAAAGCAAACAATTAGCATATACTAGAAATAAGCCTAGCTAGGGCTTTATCTCACATAAATGTATTACTCTACTACACAGTAAGTCTCGCCCATATTTTAATGGATTCTTGAGCAGCCCAGAACTAATGTCACATTAAAACATATTTTCTTTCTCCTAGGTACCAAACTGCACCTTAAAATTTTGTTCCTACCAAGGTAATGAAACTACCAAGATTAATAAAAAAACTCCACCAGATGTTAGAGCATACTGTAGAATCCAGAAGTGGATTCCAGCAGAAAGTGTCCTTGTCCCTGACAAAGGAGCTAGAACTGGATGACCCTGAATGCCCCTTCCAATCCAAACCATTTTATGAGTCTATGAAAAGTTTGCTCAGCTTCAAACATACCTAAAACTTAAAAACAATACCATGACCTCCCTGTACTTCAACCAGTATGTACCTTAGAGTCACTCATTTTAAATGGAAGCCTATTATTAACTCCAGCTAACAAAAGCAAAATCAGGAAGAGATACACCGCAGCAAAAGAAGATATGAACTCTTGCTCATTCTCAGGCTCAAAGACTTAAAACTTTTAAGAGATGGAATGCTTGTCCTTCCCACTTGTGAGCAGGCATCCACAGTACTCCTGGGGAGCATGACACTTAACAGTATTGCCTTCAATATTTGGAGCACATGTATAGCCTCAAACCTCTAGGTTACATAAGAAGCCTTACTCATTTTTAATGAATCCAGCTTTCACAGCTATGAAGAGCGACCCCAAAAAAAATGGAATTCAACCATTCTTAGGGCAAATAAAACTAAACTGTAACTAAGGATTGGGAACAAATTCACTTGTTTCTTCCAGCCCTCACCATTTGCAAAACTCTGAATTGCTTTATTTCTACCCAAACACACACTTTTCCCTATTCATCAACACCTAGGGAAGAGAGAAAAAAGTGAGAAATTAATGGACAAAATCTGAACACAGATAATGAGAAAGAACAAACCGCAAGCAGACAAGAGATGATTTCAGTAAGGGGCCAATTACAGGGATGCAGCAAGATAAAAGATAATAAAATATACAGCATTTGACACATAAAAAGGAAAAAAAGCATAGGGAAGGCAACGACAGAAGGCATTAAGAAGTTTCCATGTAATCAAACCCTAAAACTTGCCCAGCCTGGAAGAGAAAGAAACAATGCTGAGCACAAACTCTTATGTGACCAAAACAAGGTATTATACAATCCCCCAGAGTACACACCTCTACACAACTTAGATGAAAACAAGTTGCATGAGCCCAAAACCAAGAAATCATTATGATGCTAGGCACATAACTGAACTGTGCAACTCATGATGTACAAAAATGACAGGGATCAAAAGCATAAACGGATTTAAGATCAAATTACACGATTTAATCCTTTGTTGATCTGTGGTAATTTGATTTTAAGATCAAATTAACACAAGCATGGTGGATAAGGAAATTAAGGACCACTCCATGAGCAGCTTCTGAACATAACCCCAAGCTGCTTTACAGCACAGAGATTTCCAATCAATGCTGCTGATAGAAAAAGTAGGAAGTTTTCTCAGCTAAAAATTGTTTTACCCTCTATCTGCCTTAGCTAGCACTGGCTGGCTATTCAGCTGTTACTCAATAGAAATATGAAGCAGAACAAACTGGACTATAGGTTATTATCATTTCCCTATGTGCTCATCTACTTAGCTGTGAGGTGTTTGGAGATATCTCTATTTCAAGAGAAGCGTTACCACACAGCTGCTACTCTTACATGCACTACCACTGACATAACAGGGAGCAAAATGGGTCAGACTAAAGGTTCTTCTCATTGCCCTGTTGCTTATCTGCTTAGACTTCAAGGTATTTGAAGGACAAGTAAGTATTAACATGAGGTACTACCATAAATCTGCTGATGTTACAAACACTTCTGCTAGCACTGTCTACAATGAAGCCTGCCATATACTGAAGATAGTACAACTATTTTTAATTGGTCAAATTTCTGCCAAATTAAATCTGGACTAAAATTTTCCATACCAGATGGCAGACCTTCTCCGGAAATTTTTAGGAAAAACCCCTCAGCTGTTTCCTAGAACAAAACTGGAAGAACACTCAACTATGTTAACTCTTCCACAATCAGGGCTTTGATGCTGAAATTCAACAGTGTGGCTTAAAGAACACAGCATTTGGTCTCCTCAAAGCAATGGATGAAGACACTGAAATTAATCTTGTCATATTAAAGGCCATTTTAAGAGCTGAAATCCAGAGCTTCAAAGCCCAATCTTGCTCTGCCCTTACAGTGACCCAGGACTGTGGAGAATGAACCGTCCCCTCACTTTGCTCTGTCCAGGTGCTGCATGTGGGAAACCAGGCCAAGTGGCCTCTGCTGGGTCCTCAGCCTACCCACGCAGTCTAGAAGAAATAAAAGCATGGCAAAAAAGAAGGAAAATAAATTAAGTTTTGGAATAAAGCACATTTTTTAGCTCCATGCCACGCTCTCCTGTAGAATTAAGAAAAAAATAACCAAAGGCTTGTAAGACTTAAATTCTCTGAACTGTGCTGGCACAGTTGAGACACAAAGTAAAAAAAACAATTCCTAACCCACTCCCAACATCTGTTGTATGCTGAGGCTGCTAAAATACTAGGGTTACCCCACTACACCACAAGTATCAGCTTTTCCATTGTATTCCTTCTCCTTTCCATTTAAAGGAAAAGGAATAAGCTGCTTTTACCTTTAAGCCAATGACCTTTTCATTGTAAAACCTAATGTAATTCTTTGGGAGCCAAAGGAATTGGGGGAATACTTTTTAAAGGGAGTGGTAAGAGTTTCTGGAGTGCCAAACACAATGACCAAGCTTATTTTACAAAACTTAAGAAAATATTTTGCTAATAGTCTGTTTAGAATCATAATGCAGCCCAAGGCTTCTCCATGATTTTGAACACTCAATTTCCTTCTCTGAAGATAAAGAGATGTTTGAAGATAAAAAGACATTCAAAGACAAAACAGAAAAAAAAAAGTAGTAAGTAAAAAGAAAAAAAAGGGAAAAAAGTCCTGTTTATAAACATCTTCTACAGCCAACTGTGAGTAACAAAATGAGCCACTTAGCAGGCTGCATTTTAAGAGCACAGTAAGACTCAATTCAACTAAATTTCTTCCTTCTAACAGAGAGCTCATGTTGGGAAAATCTGTTCTCTTTCCCTGCTCCCTGGAATTAAACATTAAGTAACTTCAGCAGCTCCTCCACCTACTAGTAGGCTTAGAAAAGCTAGTCAATCTGCAAACTTATTTTCATACCAATTTATTCTTACTTTCTTACACTAAAGGAGGCTGGTATCCTCAATTCTGAGGTGCTCCCCAGTAGTAACATGTGGCATGAGAGCAGCAAGAGTAAGAAAACTCACTTTGTACACTGCTGCTGACAACAGCAGTACTTAGTGTAGTCATGAGCAAACTACATAACCTTGTGGAAAACCCTCAGAGAGGCAACATTAACATCAGTGGCGCAAACTTGAAAAAAAATGGTTACCCGCAACACCATTTCCAGCAGATTTTAATGACAACAACGAAAAAAAACCCTACTAAATTATCATTAAAAAGTATAAAAGGCATTGCGCTTACAGCTTGAATAAATGAAACCAAAACAACTGCCATCTTTATGAGTTTCAAGTTTTTATTATAATGCTGCTTCTAAACATCGTGGTTGTTTACATTCTACTGAATTTGGAAATACAATGGCATCATAAGAAATATTCGGCCTCTATAGGAAAAAACCCCCTAAAAAAAATCTGTACGTAAGTAAAAGAAAGGATGCCTATTACATAAAAGTTAGATTTAAAAAAAAAATGGTTATTTCATCTCACATACCAAAAATTTTGTATAAGTGTATTGACACACTACCCTTTATTCGGATCATCAGAACAGTTCAAAATTCATCTGAGTAATAAATATAGCAGAAAAAAGCACCAAAGTCTTTAAATCAGTGATCATTGTAAATTTACATTACAGTTAAAAAATCTCAAATTCAAAATCAACTGGTCAGAACATAGGACTAGTTTTGTCTACAAAGAAGTACTTGTAAAATCTGACTTCAGTTGAACATTTGAGGGAAATAGGCACCAAAGTTTTCAACTACCAGAAGGAACTATAAATACAGTATCTCTTCTACAGAAAACTCTAAGGAATCTCTTAACTGTTTATACATCTTATTCCCTAAAAAAATAAAAAGTTGATAATGAAAAATAAGCCTACTTACAGATAAAACATCTGTAGGGTTGGTTTTTTTTTCATTTCTACATGTTAAATTATGAAAATCATACACAACAGCAAAGTATAACATTTAGGAGACTTGGCATTTTCATTTTGTGGCACCATTCCCCACCTCTTCTCCCAGGTAACAGCAGTGGTAATTTTTGGTTTTCTTTAAAATAAATTAAAATCACCCTAGTCATACAAGAGATCCAATGAAGTCTACAGGAAGCAGTAGTTCAGTTCTTGGGAAGCATATAAATGCACAAATGCAGTTTTTGAAACAGAAAGGTTTAATACTTCCATATTAAATGCCCATGATATAATCACAGCAAACATCAAACCATAAGAACATACAATTTTCTAGAAAGTACAGCAGGATGAGGACAGACCCAGTACCCATTCAAATAATGACCTGCAAGAATAGAATTACCTGTTTCCTCTTCCAACACTTTTGTGC